AATCAGCTAAAATCGATACCCTATTTATGACCAAAACAGCTGAAAAACCATACCCTTTGGGGCCGCACATACCTACATAGCCCATATAAGGGAGTACACTCATAAAGTAAAAAGATCTGAAAACAAGAGAAGTGGCTTTTGAAAATATTATCCGGAGTGCTGCTGCGTGAATCGCAGCAACAATGCTTCGAGTTTTCGAGGCGCTTCACTTCAAGGAAACCGTGGACGCTTTGTGAGTTTCAGCGCGGACGAGATTGTGCTACAGTGACCTTTAGTCCAGTTGTATCTTCTACATCCTATAAGTGATCACAACAGCAGCAATTTAAGAAACCCTCTTTCATATGGAGGAAACAAATTTAAAATTATCAAAGGGAAACTAAGCTGCCAATGACCCTACAGGTATGTTTTCAGGAAACAAGAGAAAGTGTGACAATGTCGGCGGTGAAAGGTCACATATGCAAATTAGTTCAAATTCTGTCAATAAACCTTTGAAAAGAGTGTAAACTTAGTAGTGACGTTTTAACGAATTGCTTTGAACTTGGACACTATTAAATGAAGATTATAGACATAAGTGTGCACTAACAAACTCCAGTTCTTGGACCTCAATTTGCCCTCATTCGAGATGAATGCAGCTAATGAAATCCTTTCTCAAGAAGATCATGTGAACTTTGTTTCTTTGTACCTAAATGGTTCTACAGACCTCACAGAAATTCTTTTATCTGGCAATCATTCACAACATCTGCAAGGATCACAGTTCATGTCATATCTTCACAAGTCATCAGAAAGTGTCATGCATGAAGAGCCACCAACAAAACAAACCTCTCTTGCATTAGAGGCACCGACGCATTTCAAAGCAGCCCCTTTAATGGCAGAGGACTTCAGGGGTGTACCACCGACAGTTATTATTACTGGCAACTTTGATGTTTTGAGAGGTGAAGGTTTCTTTTATGCAGAGCGGTTACAGAGTGCAAAGATTAAGGTCAAACACAAGAACTACAGGTCTTTTCATGGCTTTGTAACGTTGGTAACTGAAGGAGGACCAGCTATGACTGATGAAGGAGATGAAGCTTTTGCTGACATAGTGCAATACATAAAAGACATGACAAGCAGTTAGTGCTACGGAGGTAAAAAAATGTCTTGCACACAATCCACATCTCCTATACATGTCATCATCTGATCTTGTCACTTGAGAAGGTGCATAAGGCCATCACATTGCAGGGGTGTCATTAAGGGTTGGGTACCCTGGGCAAATTAAGGGTCGGGTACCCTAGCTAACTGAGGACAATTTTTCCTGCCTGGTTTGACCAACCAGAGGAAAATTTTTCAGTTCAAAAAGTTTTAACCACCTGTGAAAGCCAGTTGTCCCCATGCTGGAAATGTTAATAAAACCCCTGCATTGACGACCCAACACTCACTGCTCCTTGCCGGGACTTTGGCCATTTTCAACCTCATACATACAGTCTTGTTCCTGATCCTTTCTCATCAGTCCCACTCAAACTCAGGTCCTATAGGTTTCCCTTGTCCACCCCCTTGCATCAAACAGTCATTCTCACCTTCTTTTCTAACTGCTAGTTGGCTAAGCCAGTTCCACCTTCTATGTTGTATCTCTTAATTTGTATAAGTCATGCACTTGGTGCTTAATGTTAGTTCTTGAAGAGACAAAGTGATTAGGATAGCTGAAAAAATTCACAGTTGCATTCAATTTTTTCTATCTTTTATCAACTTTGCAAACGTACTACTTAATAAGTTAGTTTTAACATCAGTTTAGAGACATACAAGTTGCCAAATCAATACACTCAAGTTTTTTTAAACTACATCCGTTTACAACTCAAAAAATTATAGTCTTGATGTTTCATATTATTTACCCACTAGGGTTACATGTACAGCTGTAAATACTGTTGAACATACTTTTTGAGTACAGTGTACAAAATATTCACCTTGTTCACTACAGTAATTTAATTGGAACTAAGTTCTTAATTATTTATTGTAAGGTATTTTATTTATCCAGAATACAGTGCATTATAGTAGGTTCTTGTCAACAGTTTTTAATTGTCTTTGAAAGAAACTTTTTTAAAAGGATAGTAGACAGTAAAGCCTGCAGAGTCAAAGCAGAACACTCAGTAAAACATGTTCACTGTCATCCTGGATGGAGAGGAGGGCAACCAACTTTTTAATTGGATGTGGGTTAATATGGTTAGTTTTTTTTTATTTTGTATATAGATAAAAGTAGTGTGAAGTGAAATAGTACAACCAAAACCCAGGAAGATAGTTACGATTTTTATTCATGTCTAGCCTGATTTTCTCAGATCATTTACGATGTGATACAAGCAAATAACTACAAAAGCTATATAGAACTGAATGAGTGAGGATGCAATAAAGTCAAAAAAGAAACAGCTGTGTGAAGACTATTTATTATTTCTTTCTACATTGCTGTTATGTTGTAGATCTATTACAAATCGATTACCACCTAACAATAATTTCATTAAAATATCACAATCATGAATGGCTGTAATAAACTTCTGTTAAAACTAAGTTTGGTGGAGAAACCATAAGTCTGGGCATTACTTTACATTGTGTCATTTTTTAAAACAATATTTCTTTTAATTCTACATATCCCACGTTGCTCTCATTCTGAAATCAACAGCAACTGAGTTGTTTCTAAAATCCATGATACATACACAAAAAATGTAGTGTAAACCCCAACCTGAGAAAGAGGTGACCGCTTGAGGTTGTTCACTAATTCTAGATCCAGTACTGTATTAATGTAATAAATATTTTTTCTTTTAAATGGGAGTGAATCGAAGTAAATAAGAAATCTGTTCGCACGATAAACCATAGCCTCCTACACAGACACTCTTCAGGCTCATCATGCAATCTTCCTCCTGTTCGTGGGGGAAAACGTATGCATGATGAGCCTAAAGAGCATCTGCATAGGAGATGAGATAAGCCATGACAAAGAGAAGCTGTTGTAAGTGATCACCAATGGGACTTGGGACTAGTGGTCATAGCTAGTAGAGCTGGTAGGTTCCATTAATGAAATCTCATAACTGACCACTCACAGTGTAGACGTACAAGTTGGTTGACTACATGCAGTGGTGGATCCAGACCTCATTACAAGGTGGCGACCTAAATTTTTTCTACAGTTAAGGTGTGGTGCAAAAGATTTTAGATTTTAGGCCCTTCAGGCCTGAAGTATTTTTCCTAATAAGGGGCTTGGGAGGGGGGGAAGTATACTCGGAATGCAGTGTGACTCCCTGCATTCA